GATAATTTGGTTTACTGTGATTGTGATGAATACAAGACTTGTAGATAATTTATGTATCTAGCTCCTGTCAAAATTTGAGGGCATTTGGCCTAGTAGTTTAGAAACTACAGCTGTTTAAAGTTAGGTTCCAGTTTTGCTTACTCTCTGCCTTGTAAGGACAGAGTTCTGTTAATTTATGAATTCGACTTGGTAAAGTATTGAATCATGCTTTGAGGTCTAAAAATGAATTGTAGAAAATTTCATAAGCTTTCCAGATTATCTTGTTGCCTGTCATTTGGAATTATAAATCTCCAGTTATAGCTAGTTTACTGTACCGCCACATAGTCTTCATTTTGCTGAAATGCAAATGCTTGAGTGTATGTTGTTGCAATGTTCCCGTTGATTGTTTAGGGGTTAGCCTAACTTGAGAATATGCTTAGGTGCAGGTGCTAGGTCATTAACTGAAGATGAGCAATTATACATTAGGTTGTATAAACTTGGTAAGTAAAGTGATTTGAATAGGGCTTAAGTTGGACTATGCAAACTACAACGAACATGTGCATTCCCCGAGCATCCCTGACATTCGTTCATGTGCATCCATGATAGTTATCTTGCGCATTCATGCAATAGGTGTGCCGGAGGGAGTGACGTTAATGGAGTTCGAGGGAGCCAACTAGGAGGAGGAACCCGAGGTGCAGGAAGCCGACGAAGCAGTTGCCGTGGAGGAATTGCCCGAGTGCCCTGACCACCAGTCTTCCTCGTTCCTGAAAGGCAAGCCCCGGAGCATATGAAGCCTCCCATGTTTTTACAAATACTTTGAGTATCTTTTATTGTTGATGATGCATTAAGTATAGGAATTGGTTGGAACCAATTGCTGCATTATATATCCTTCCTTGTCCAGATATCGCACTGGAATCCTATTTAAGTTCAGGAACAAGTTAAATGCTTAGCCATGCTTAGTGCGGTAGAAGTCAGGTGATTTTCTGTCACCTGCGAGCTTTAGGATAAGGTGGATCACGGTTGGCTATATTTTCTATCATGAAAAAGAACCATGTGAATAATGAATTAAGACCGGGCGGGGTCTTGTGTAGGTTTGAACATAGTGACTCCATCTGAGTCGTTTAAGGACCGATACGCTGTACGTCCTCATGTCATGTTGAACGCAGCCTAACACTTAGCTGGCCGGATAAGTCGTTCTGACTGCGAAGCCTAGTAGCTCGACTAAGGCCGGGGACGCGAGCAGTGGCGGCATTCTGGAGGTAGTAAGGATGTGCGGAGAGCCATTGGCATAAGTCCAAGGCGGGTTAGAGTCCCGAACAACCTTAGCAGAGTGGTTCTCTGAGAATGTCGATCTGATCGGACTCGCGACTCCTGAATCGTACCAAAGGTGACTTGTTTGCGACTCCGACAGGAGAAGCAGGGTTTGTGTTTAGAAATACCCCTCCAGCTGGATAGGAATCGATTCGAATCGCCGTCTCTCCCGGATAGTGAGAACTTGACTGAGCAGCGGCAACATAGATTCAATTAATTTAACGATATGGTTAAATGGATGATGATGATAAGGTTGCCACAATGAATACCTGATATGGTTATTAATGTTTGCACCATAATAAAATGATTGCTTAGTACAGGTGCTAATATAGTTGACAGGTTAATGGCTAAAAAGTCACTGCTAGTTCAGGCTAAGAGTTGCTCATTATTACTTATGCTTTTCTGCAAAAAGAAAGTGTCAGCTAGATCCTCTATATTAAGCTATGCATAATCCTTGGTGTCAATTATTTTGGTTTTTGTCGGGTAAGTCTAGCTGAGTACATTCTCGTACTCAGGGTTTATTCCCTCTTGTTGCAGATGACCTTCTATATCAGGGATTCTGTAAGTATTGTCTCCACCCAGCGGGTGATGAAGACTAGATCATGCGCATGATCTCTGTTATCTTATCTGAATGTTTTTGCGGGCTGTGATCAGCGAACCAGTATGTGTATTTGAACTCGGGTGTGTGAGTTAAACTATTTGCTTCCGCATGTTTTACAAGACTTGTTTTGTAATAACGATGACTCTGTGATGATGTAATCTATTTGCGAACGTCTGCGAAATGTTGTAACGTACGATATGTTATGTTGAATTACTATGATCTTGGTTGTATGTAAGTTGGTTTGAAATCCTTCGAGATTTCAGTTGACTACCGGGTTTATATGGGCTCAAGTTCGAGAATTGATCGTTTTGGCGATTGTTTTTGTACTTGTGCTCTTATAAATTGGTCGGTTCTGTGACAGCGGCGGCGAGATCAATAAACACCGGGTATGGGAGCGAAGTCACGGCGTCACTCTTCTGTAACAGCAGTGGCAACGTGGGAACGGAAAATCTAAAACTAATGGCAACGAAGGAAACATGTAATTTTAAATGGCAACGAAGAGATTGTTATAGTTTTCAATGGCAATAAAGGAATTTTCTCTTACAAAAGAGGCTGCCAGTAGCTAGCTAGCTAAAGCTCGCCAAGCGTATACTCCCTCCATACCTACAAAGAAAGTCGTTTAGGACATGATTGTGTTTACCAAGGAGTGATTAATTAGGGTAGAGTTATGGTAGAGTTTTCCCTATTTGTCCCTAATAAATACGCCTGTGGTTGTATTTCATAGGAGAAAGTTCCTGAGTTTTACTGGCTAGCGCAGCTAGTCTCGAGTGGCCGAGTCCGGTGGTGCTGTGTTCGAAACCCCGCGGACTCGAACTTTTTTTGCTCTGTGGGTCGCTATCACTGCCGAATCTTTTTTGCATGGCATCGTTGGTTCAAGCTACGTCATTGTGGAGTGTCATTGCTGCTGCATGGCGCTGTATGCGCATGCGTTTGTTGCCAAAAATTTTGAAGCGCCAGCAGATTCATTTCAAATTTTTGTTCTTCATTGTGAAACGTTCGCGTGGCGCTTTTTTTTTTTGGCGGCATACGCACGACGACCCGGTTTCATCGCTGCAAACGTTTGACCGCTGTCTGCGCCATCTATTTAAAGGCAAGAAACGTTGCTTTCCTTCTTAGCTTCACGTTACCACGTCGTCCGGTGTTCTTCTTAGCTTCGCTTTCCATCTATCAAATGAAATGGCTGATCCAAGGAATGCTGCCTTTGATCTCAACGTCCGCATAGAAGAAGGTGATGGCAATGCTGGTATTGTGCCTATTGTTACTCAATTTGGATTTTCCTTTTATGATGTTCGTAGCATGCAAATTTCTCATTTTGTTGTTTCCTTATCTTTAGGATTTGATTTGAACCTTCCATTGGATGAATTTGGTGCTGTTGACTTAGGTTACGTTACAAACGTTGCTGGTAATGCTCTCGGGTTGTTTTTCCTTTCGTTATGCTCTCGGCTAAGTAGATGAATGTTATTCATTTTTTTTGTTTTACTAGAACATGCTGTTGAGGTACCGATTGAAGGACATGGCCGAAGGAAGGACATGGCCGAACAACAAACAAAACAAGTGTACCAAACATTGTTAGCTACAAGTAAAAATGGGAAACTTGGCAAGAAAGATACAAGCATTGTTGCTGATCGTTTTGGACTCCACATTTGAACTGTACAGCGCTTATGGAAGCGAGGTAAAGACCAACTTGCCAATGACATTCCGGTTGTGGTTGTTGGTCAAAAGAGGGGTAGATGTGGTCGCAAGGCAATCCCTCTAGACTTGGAACAATTGCGTAGCATTCCACTCAAACAAAGAATGACCGTAGAAGATGTGTCTAGCAAACTTGGTATAAGCAAGTCTAGGATTCAAAGGTATTTAAAAAGGGTTGCTTAGGCGTCACTCTAGTAGCATCAAACCGCACCTCACTGATACAAACAAGATGACTAGGTTGAAGTGGTGTGTTGATATGGTTGAGCAAGGTTTGGTTGGTGATCCAAGGTTTAAGGATTTTTTGACTATGTGTTCATTGATGAAAAATGCTTCTACTTATCTCAAAAATCCGAGAAATATTATTTGCTACCCGAGGAAGATGACCCTCATCGCACTTGTAAGAACAAGAACTACATCCCTAGGCTCATGTTCTTGTGTATTTGTGCTCGGCCAAGGTTTACGAATGGAGAGTGTGTTTTTGATGGCAAAATAGGTTGTTTTCCCTTGGTAACTTATGAACCGGCTGTTAGAAGAAGTCAAAACCGTCTTCGTGGAGAACTAGTGATCAAGCCAATTACTTCAATCACAAGAGATGTGATTAGGGATTTCATGTTAAACAAAGTGCTGCCCGCCATTAGAGCCAAATGGCCTAGAGAAGATATGAGCAAGCTGATATTCATTCAACAAGAGAATGCCCCTTCACATTTAAAATTGGATGATCCTGAGTTTTGTGAGGCTGCTAAGTAAGAAGGCTACGACATAAGACTCATTTGTCAACCACCCAATTCTCCGGATTTTAACATTTTGGACTTGGGTTTTTTTTGGGCTATTCAAGCAATTCAATACAAGAAAGATGCAAAAAAAAGAAGATCTAGTTCCAGCCGTCCAACAGGTAAAAAGATCAATTGTTCACATGTTGCAATGTTTATTTAACATGAAAATGTACTCATTCATTGATTTTCTTCAACACATGTTACATAGGCATTCATGGAGTACTCCCCATGGAAAGCAAACAGGATATTTGTAACACTTCAAAGTGTTTTGAAGGAAGCCATGAAGGTTAAAGGGTGCAACAAATTCAAGATACCTCACATGAACAAGGACAAACTAGAGAGGGAAGATAGGCTGCCACTACAAATTGGATGTGAACTTTCATTGCTTGCTGAAGCCATTGCTACTGTCCCTGAAACTTAGAATGATCAAGTTAGTTTATGCAGATTAGAACATTCAAGCATGGAGATGCATGTATCTTAGGTTAAATCATTGTACCTTAATGATCTTTGTTTGCCACTGAGTGAATGTGCTCGTCCAACTTCTTGATAACTTCCTCGGGCAAAATAATGGTCTCACCATCCATTTGAAGTTTGTGCACGTTAGGAATGTAGATCTCACACTCAAACTTCACCTGGTCATGCAACATCTATGCTGATAGGTCATAGTCTTCGTGCATGAGTCCACAACGTGCACACCTGCGAGCATTGCGTCGTGCATGGAAGCAAGCTTCTGAGAAGACGCCGCCGGCGTGCAACGTGCCGCAACGAGCACACTGCATGCCCTCGACGGAGTCCGGCACCTCGACGACGGAGACCGGCACCTCCTGCGGCGCCTCGCCGGAAGCCGACACCTCTACGTAGATGGAGTCCTCGACGGCAGGCTGCACCTCCACGATGGAGTCCGACACGTAGACGGAAGCCGGCAGCGCCTCGACAGAATCCTCGACGGAGAGCAACGAATCGACGGAGTCCTTGACGGAGAGCAGCGCCTCGACGTCGTCCATGGCTCGACGGAGTCCTCGACGGAGAGCGGCGAGACGATGCTGTAGATGAAGGCGCGCGGCGAGGCTGTGGTAGATGAAGGGGCGCGGGCGCGCGGCATTTAAGGGAGGCGTGCGAACGGGCGTCAAGTGAAACAAAGCGGCCACGATTACTGCCGCTGTGCATGCTCGCGGAACGATAAACATGCGCGGAACGACGGACTCCGTGATTAATGCAGGGGCAAACGCGTCCATAACCACGACCGCGCGGCCAAGACGACAAACTTTGCGAAATCGGTGGTGTGAGCTAGGACGACTTCCTTTGTAGGTATGGAGGGAGTATTTGCATGGTGCCCCGCACCGCGTTCGGCTGTTTCGGTCCTGGATTGCTTCAGCTACAGAACATTATTCAATCATCCAAAACCAGCCGAGCTACTGTGCCCAACGCGGTGATAGTGCCTAGCTAGACAGATGGTTCTGGCCCCAAGCATTTGGCGACGCTTCATCTGGTTCAGGCAACTATACGTGTGCTCGACCAAACAGCCCTGGGGGCCACGCGACATCGATCATTGGTTCGTACAGAGAAGAAAAAGAAAACGTGGTCACAGGAAAGAAGAACCACAGCTCGTACATGCTAGCTAGCTGTTTCCTCGATCCATCGTCGTCTTGGAGTTTGACCATCACCAACAGCCACAAGCCCTCTCTCTCGTCGTCGTCGTCTCTGTACATCTCCCACCTAAACCCACGCCCAACTTGCAGGACGCATGGCGGCAACCATGGCTATAAATGGAGGCAGCCGAGTGCGCAAGGCCTCCACACGCCTCCCTCCCTCTGACTACTAGCAGCTAGCCAAGGCGCAACGAGCTGAGCAGCAATGGCGGCTACTTGTTTTCGGCGCGCTGCTGCTCTGCTGGTACTGGTAGCAGCAGCAGCCGTCGTGGCCCTGCAGGCGGCGGCCGGCGACGTCGACCCACTCGAGGGCAGGTACCCGCCGCTGGCGCCGGGCCTGTCGTTCGACTTCTACAAGAAGAGCTGCCCGAAGGCGGAGTCCATCGTGCGGGAGTTCCTGTCGTCAGCGGTGCGGCAGAACGTGGGGCTCGCCGCGGCGCTGATCCGGCTCCACTTCCACGACTGCTTCGTGCAGGGCTGCGACGCCTCCGTCCTGCTGGACTCCACGCCCACCCAGCCCAGCGAGCAGCTGTCGCCGCCCAACCTCACGCTCCGCCCCGCCGCTTTCAAGGCCGTCAACGACATCCGCGCGCGCCTCGAGCAGGCCTGCGGCCGCGTCGTCTCCTGCGCCGACATCGTTCGCGCTCGCCGCCCGTGAATCCGTTGCCCTGGTACCTCTACGCCGCCTTTGCTTTGTTTGCTTTATATATTCATCTGCGCACAGTAAATAAAGTCATCCAATCATATGCATATATGTTATACTCTCTTGCTATTTTTTTCCCCTCTCATCTGGTACAACTGTAGTATCTGCTCATGTACAGATACACATCAATCCTACACATGCACACCACACTCACACCACACGTACACAAGCAAACCTACAGCTATACTCAGATTGCTGGATCGTGTCTTTCGTGAGATAACCGGATCCAACCATAGACCTGTGGACGATGGGCGCGTCACATTCTCTTCGTGGCTCCACGCGAGAGATAACACAATTTATTTGGGGATTAACCCCGGTGAGAAACGCCAGTGCGATTGCAGAGAATCGAACTCCCGCCGGCTGCCTGCGCACCGGCTGAGCTAGCCATCCGAGCTCTGCTCGGTTCTCTCTCTTGCTGTTGTTGCATGCACCCCACACTCACTTTATTCTATACTTTTCCTTCTTGTTATAAACACACACACACCCACCCCATGTTATGCCGTGTGGTACATGTAACTTCAATTCACATGCATGGCCCTACTTTTCAACATCAACATGGCAAGAGTATGTATGTAGGCCCCGTTTGGCAGGGCTTCTCCACCAGCTTTAGGAACCATTTAGAGTCGTTTTCTGCCAAACGGGGTAAAGTGAAATAGCTTTATTGGTAAAGTCCCTAAAAACATGCTCTCACAATAATTTGGGGTAGGATAGAGCCAAAAAAAGTGGCTTCTCCCGGCTCCTCCTCCAGGCCCCTAAAAACATGCTCTCACAATGAAGCCATTTTGTCAAACGGTTTACCAAAACCGCTTCAGCTCCACCGGTGGAACTGTTCGTGGAGCTGAAGCAAAAAAAAAAGGCTTCACTAGTAAAGTGAAACCCTGCTAAATGGGGCCATAGTGGAACAAAAAAAACTACTTTTTAGGTACAAAAGTAGAGTCGAAGCACTTAATAAAGGACAATAAAGGACCCATATGTTTTGCGGCTCCAGTTTTTCAGTTCAAAATGGCTCTGACTCCTCTACTGTTTACCAGAAAATAGCTTCTCGTCCTAATATGTTTGGTATGGCATCTCTATGGAGATTGCTGCGGGAGCCAAAGCCGTTCTGTACAGGCCATAGTTTGTCATGAGTTATTTCTCGTCTTCAGAGTTTAGACATGACATGGTCATATGCATCCAACCACTATTTTTCCATCAAAATATGTCCATGTAGTTTATTAAGACAAGACAACGACAAAAGAAAATATCTTTCGAGTGACTTTAATACTTTCAAACAAACAAAAAGAAAAGTATTGGTAGCTACTTTTATGAAAGTTTTAAAATTTATTATGAAGTAATCAGGCATTTGTAACTGGGGAGATAATATTATTAGTTCAACTTAATTTTACAGAACTAGATAAGTATTTGTCATACCGTGTCATAAAAACCTAAAGCTTGTACTAAGCCTTTCACAAAGCCACAGAATTTGTTTTGACTGCCCATAAATGTTTTTCCTCTAGTTTGTACTTTTTTGCGAGGAGTTTCTAATAATATGAGTAAGTTATAGTAGTTCCTTGTCTTCGAGGGCAAAAATACCTGCCTGTCTGCATCTCCTGTGTTGCGCGAAATGAGATATACGTATACTAATTATAGTGAGCACCTATACCTGTATATTATTTGTGAGCCGGCGCCGGCCAGTGACACAGGTCAACGCAAAAGGTTGAATGGTCTCCGTTAGATTCGTCCCTTTGAAAATGCAGCGGCAAAGTACAGCACTAGGGCTGTGGGCACTGGCAGATGGTCGGCCTGTTCGGTTGAACTTATCGGCGGTACTTTTTCAGGCAAGAAATAATGTTTTTTTTATAACAAATCATTATAAGCATCAGTTAAATTTCAGCGAACTGAACCGGGCCTTCCCACGTGGCTAGATTATGGGGCTGCTGCTAATAACTGTACATGGATTAGATGCGTTCCTTGGTCGTCGATGTCGGCTAGGGTCGGCTAGCAGCAACCATCGTCGTCATCATCTTCCTGTTATCACTTTATTTATTATCCGTAACTAATTAGTGCAATTGTCAGAGTTCGTTGTTAACTAACAGCAGCCACTTTTGATCATCATCAGCATATCAATAACTGCTGTGCCTGTGCATGCAGGGTGGCGGTCCGGCGTACAAGGTGCCACTGGGCAGGCGAGACGGGCTGGCGCCGGCGTCGAACGCGACCGTCCTGGGCGCTCCCACCGCCGACGTCCAAGAGAACGCTGTCCTTCCTGGCGAAGATCAACCTGGACGTGACGGACCTAGTGGCGCTGTCCGGCGGCCACAATCGCGCACTGCAGCTCCTTCGACAACCGCCTCTTCCCGGTAGGACCCGACGCTGAACAAGTTCTTCGCGGGGCAGCTGTACGGCCGATAACACGACGGTGAACACCACGGTGAACGACGTCCGGACGCCCAACACCTTCGACAACAAGTACTACGTGGACCTGCTCAACCAGGATTTGTTCACGTTATTCATTAAAACGCCACCACCATTACAAAGTTCGCCGTCGAAAACGCCTTCTTCGAGCAGTTTGTATACTCGTACGTCAAGATGGGGCAGATCAACGTGCTCACGGGGTCCCAGGGACAGGTCCGCGCCAACTGCTCCGTGCGCAACGCCGGCGCTGGTGGAGATGAGCTGCCGTGGTCCGTTGTCGAGACCGTCGTCGACGCCGCCGGTAGCCTCGTGCTCTAGATCGTATCGATCGTGAACAACAAACGGGAGTACGTATGTTAGAGCAGTTTGTTTGCAGGAAGTTAGCAGTCTGAAGCTTGTTTTTTCTTAAGTCTCCATCGAGGACATGCGCATTTGTAACAAATAAGCAGCTAGTGATTTGGAAATAAAAGCTTGTGTTCATGGGATCAGATGAAGTCATGATGATCATTATACAAACGACGACGACGTCGATGGCATTGGCTGGTTGCCCTGCAGGAAGGCCGGGCACCAGCAGATCGAACTAATAGTAAACTGTGCGTGCCCGGCGAATTCTCAGGCGAGCAATGAATGTGAGCCGCAGCAGCATCGGACCGAGGATGGCTGCGCAGCCGCAACCGAGGCCGAGGCGACGCCGCCGCTCGCCACTCGGCCACGTACGCCGTCCGGTCGCTGTCGGACTGGAACACGATCAAGCCGGGTTCGATCGTCCAGGGATGGTCGTGAAGGCCAAACCGAGGAGCAGCGCGCCCATGGACGAGAGCACCACGGCCAGGACGCACAGTGGCCATCTCGCCGGACGTCAGGTAGTCCGCCGCCGGATCTCGGGGGCCAGCTGGTCGCCGCCCGCTTCTTCTTCTTCCTCTGGCACCTGCTGGTTATTCGCCGCGCCGCCGCTGTTCTCCAGATCCATATTGTACAATAGCTACTCACCGATGTTGCCAAATCTTCATTATAAAATAATGTATGTTAAAAGGCCGATATATCCCGGCTAACATCCGACATGCGGCTAACAAGTGCCCGACATGCTACCTATCGGTACTCCATTGGCCGACGATAGGGTGCTATATCTGCAATTTCTGTACGATAGCTACTAGATTTGCAATTATTCATTAAAAATATTAATTAAAAATATATCCCAACATCAACAATTCGGCTTACCCGAAAATCGCTTGTTTTTTTTCAGTCAAGTTTTTCTCTCTCACAACAATTCTGCTGGAAGCGTTGTTTTCGCCAGCCAAACGAGGCCACTACGTGGACCTGCTGAACCAGGAGGGGCTCTTCACGTCGGACCAGGACCTGTTCACCAATGCCACCACCAGGCCTCTGGTGACAAAGTTCGCTGTCGACCAGATAAGCCTTCTTCGAGCCGTTCGTCTACTCGTACGTCAAGATGGGGCAGATCAACGTGCATGCTCACAAGGTGTCATAGGGACAGGTCCGCGCCAACTGCTCCGCGCGCAACGGCAACAGCGGAGAGATGCCGTGGTCGTCTGTCGTGGAGACCGTCGTTGACACCGCCGGCAGCCTCGTGCTCTAAATCGTAAATCGTGAACAACATTAACCGAGAAGGGAGGGCGTGTAGCAGTTTGTTTGCAGGATGTTAGCAGTTTGAAGAAGCTTGTTGTTTCTCGAGTCTCGAGAGTCCATGCGCATGTCATGATGGTCATTATTACATATTTAATATAGATAGTACACAAACGACGAGGACGTGGATGGCATCGGCATCCCATGAACTCTCCATCAATCTGCTGTTATTTAAAAAGCAGATTGAACTCCATCAGTCCTAGGAACTATTTGTGGGCCCTATGCTACGGCCCGCAAGCAAGCCCAATTCCTACAGGCCCGCATACGCATCCACATGCAATGCCTTGCCACCTCCTGCAATGCAACAAGCAATACCCACCTACTCTATGTCGTGCTTCAAGCTACCGAGAGGTTTATGTAAGCATATCAATGGCCTTTCGAGGAAGTTTTGGTGGGGCAGCAAAGAGGGCAAGAGAAAGACATGCTGGGTTGCATGGGATGATATGATTATGCCAAAGTATCTGGGCGGGATGGGCTTTCGAGATATCGAGCTCTTTAATCTTGCATTATTGGCGAAACAGGCATGGCGTATCCTGCAGGATCTGGCATCTCTATGTGCTCGCATCTTGAAGGCAGTCTACTATCCGCAGGGCAACTTCTTGGCGACCGCACTAGGCTAGGCCCCCTCTAGGATATGGCGCTCGCTATTGGATGGGAGAGAGGTCCTTCAACAGGGGTTTGATCAAAGTGGATTGGGTCCGGTGAAACTACATCTATCTGGAGCATGGACGGGCTGCCAACTGTTGAGATCCAAGGCGGTCTCGAGACAATGTGGAGGAGGTGGAGGCATCCGCCCTTCAAGCGCTGCCCTCAGGCTGAGGCTCGGGAAACAGACACGACAAGCGGGCGTATAGGGAAATGGCACGTAAAACTAGAGTTTCATTAATTCATTCACCAACCTCCTGTACTGTTACAAG